ACAACATGAAAGCATGGATCCATCCTGCCTTGTATCAACGGTTCAGGGTGGTGAAATGGTGTGGGGAATATTTTCTTGGCACTCTTTGGGCCCCTTGGTACCAATTGAGCATCGTTGCAACACCACAGCCTACCTGAGTATTTTTGCTGAATCTATCCATCCCTTTATGACCACAATGTACCCAACTTCTGATGGCTACTTTCAGCAGGATAATGCGCCATGTCATAAAGCTGGAATCATCTCAGACTGGTTTCTTGAACATGACAATGAGTTCACTGTACTCAAATGGCCTCCACAGTCACCAGATCTCAATCCAGTAGAGCATCTTTGGGATGTGGTGGAACGGGAGATTCGCATCATGGATGTGCAGCCGACAAATCTGCGCCAATTGTGTGATGCCATCATGTCAATATGGACCAAACTCTCTGAGGAATGCTTCCAACACCTTGTTGAATCCATGCCACGAAGAATTGAGGCAGTTCTGAAGGCAAAAGGGGGTCCAACCCGTTACTAGCATGGTGTACCTAATAAAGTGGTCGGTGAGTGTATATTTCATGATAGTCGATTCATTTGTACAAGTGGTGAAACGTTGCGGCTTTCAGTTTGTCCCATCGGGAGTCGCCACAGCGAGAGCCAGCCGCAAGAGCGCTGTCGGAGTTCGAACCACCTTTTCTCGTTTTTTTGCACACATTTCTAAAATTGTGTGTTGTGTATGGAGGACGGCATCTTGTGTTTGGTGACCTCAAGAAACAAAACCTTCTCTGCAGCTCACTTTTAACCCTGAAAGTCTACCGTCATCTGGGAAGAAAAACACAACCAAAAAAAAGGTGTTTCAATTGGATTTCCTCGATGCGCAAAGCGTATTGGCGTCATTCGTTTTTGTCTCACCACATCAATATCTGTGTGACTGACTGACTGCTCCAAATAGCGGTACACATCAGGCGACATGGGCATCATTTTCTCTTGTAGCCGGGCTGGATGTCTGTAGCGTGGTGAGAGAAGTCACCTGTCACTTCAAGAGCTCGGTGATGCAACACGCTCCTCGTTTGACAACGCGGCTTACACTTCTGAGACGGAGATGAGCTCAGTCTTCATGTAGCCGCTCTTCTCCGTGTTCTCCACGTCCATGGGCTCCGGAGCTGGACACCAGTTGGACACAAACCACGTACAATAACAGCGGCGGTAAGAAGTATTACGCTGACTTCGTGACTACTCAAATTACCGTATTTTCCGCACTAAAAGACGCACTGGCTTATGAGGCGCACCTTCAATGAATGGCTATATTATAAATTTTTTTCATACATTGGACGCTTCACATTTTAAAGCGCAATCTACAATGTCTCCACGAGATGGTGATACACTCCTTCTATTCAACTCGAGAGGCGTCCGTTCAACTTGAGAGGCGTTCATGACCACCTCTGAAAAATGTAAAATAACTATTACTGTACTTAAATGAAACTACGAAAATTGAAAATAATGCATCAAAACAGAAAATCAAGCGAGGAAATCACAAAATAAATTCTATATCCCCCCCTACAGAATTTATTTTGTGATTTCCTCGCTTGATTTTCTTCGTAGTTTCATTGATGGAATAATGAATTTACGTTTTTCGCAGGCGGCCATGAACACCTCGAGTGGAACGGAAGAAGGCACGGAGTCCGTCAAAGACGTACAGTACCTGTATTTGTTGAGACTGTGAAAACCATGAATGAAGTCTGCGTTAAAAAAAAAAAAAAATAGAACCACAGCTCTCCCTTTTTCAACAAATACAGGTGAGTCTTTGTCCGTCTCTGTGCCTTCTCTTATTCCGTTCAACTCGAGAGGCGTTCATGACCGCCTCCGAAAAACGCTTTGGCATTTCCTTGATCATAGCGCCACGACTGCTACGATCAGATGTCAATAGTAGTTATTTATTCCTTTGTTGTGTATTCACAAATGATGAAATCACAATATGAATTCTGTAGGGGTGGCTATAGAATTTATTTTGTGATATCCTCGCTTGCTTTTCAAGTTTTGATGTACTGTATTATTTTCAATTTTTGTAGTTTCATTAAAGTAATCATTAGTTTACGTTTTTCGGAGGCGGTCTTGAACGCCTCTCGAGTCGAACGGAAGAAGGCACGGAGACAGACAAAGACGTACCTGTATTTGTTGAGACTGTTTTAAAAAATGAACACCACAGCTCTCCTTTTTTCGGAGCTGCAACACATACTTATTTAATAAAGCAGCGACACAGTTCACTGAACCAACAGCAAGTTATAACATTGGAAGCATGTCTCCAGGAAGGAGCCATCTTGGAGTTGATGTATTACCGTAATGACCATACAAAAGATGCACCGGATTTTAAGGCGCTCGGTGAGCTTTTAAGAAAATGGAAGACTTTTTGGTGCATCCTATAGTGCGGAAAATACGGTACTTGCATATCAAATCCGTTTTCCTCATCGTACTGTGAAAAGGAAAGATGGCATATGCCTTACCCTCGGAATTTTTGGCATAGTACTTCTTAAAGGCCACGTCTTTTGGGATGTCGGGGTAAAGGAAGCGCAGCGGGTTATCAGGGATGTCGTCGGTCGCCATCACCTTGTACGTGCGGATGATGTCGGCCAGTGAGACGGCAGTCAGATCTTTCTTTGTGTACGGCTCCACTGAGTGGAAGATGGGCTTGTCTGAAGGAAACAAAATCACGTCGGTCGGATACAAGTGATCACGCTCGAGTAAAGCGGGTGAAGAAGAGCTCCGGTGCTCACCGTGCATGTCGTGTTCGATCCACGTGAAGGTAATGGCACCTTCTTTGCTGCTCTCACTGAACCTGAGCAAGAAGGTCCCAGGGCACTTGTCGCTCAGAAGGGCCTTTTCGCGCTCCTTACTGATGAAGCCCAGGATGAAACTGCGTGGACATGTGACATACAGTATCGAGTCCGGTCAAGTTCATTTGATTGACTGTGGTTATGTCTGTGCACGTTAACACATACTATGCAAGCTAACACACGGGATGTATTTTGAAATTCAGTTCCAGAATTCCACCTTTCAATTTGAATCGTTGCATATATCGAGTGGCTCTATCGAGCAAATCTGAGCTGAGCTGCTCTAGAACCACGCTCAGCTACGGCTGTTGTTGTGCCCATTGCGCTGCCCATTATCCTTTTTTGTTTCACTTTCTATCAAGCCTGTGTCTCTCCATCCCGTTTTTTTCTTGCCTCCGCTGCCACTTTGCCAACGTGGCCACTGGTTGCTCTTCTCGAACGTGTCAAGTAAAGAAGAGTGAGTAAGGTCACTTCAGATTCCACACAGTAAAGACTCACCCGTCGTTCCAGAGGAAAAGCAAATGTCTCTTGATCAGATCCAGGATGCCTTCGATCCACAACCAGAAGGGAAACGCTTTCTCGTTGGCATTTTGTGGCTACACAAAAGCAATGTTTGTCTTAGTGGAAACGCAAGCGCATCATCTTATTGCACCACATGTGGCATTTTCTAAAGTGCTGTCCGATTCCTTCTGTTTGTCACCTTGCAGAACTTGTTCCAGGTAATTAGCCCGTCTGGGTTCCCCTGAGCTTTGGGACCTGCAGAAAGTCAGGCATTCTTCTCATCAACCCAAGAAGACACGTGAGGATTGTTGACATGTTTTCATGCTTTGGCGCGAGTTACGGTGGCGGTTCTGACCCAGCAGCTTGTCGGCCAGCATGTTGAGCTGCTCCTGGCTCAGGCCTCGCTTGGTGACAGAAGAGAACTGCCAGCCCAGAACCTCGGAGAGTTCAGACCACTTGGCTGCCGGAGGAGACAGGAAGAACTGCAGGTTCTGGAAAGGGAGACGGACCAAAAGGAGCATTAGTCAACCACTGATGGAGCGTTTGGGCTATCTGGCATGAAATTTCAGGATGAATGTTAAAATCCATGTTAACTTGTACAGTCAAACTTCATTTGACCTTCTCTCAACTTTCCAAAGCACAAGTCTGGCTGTTCAGTGACTGTGGTACATTTTCTACAACTTGCTGCTTTCTTAACAAGAAGATGAACTGCAAAATTCACAAGAGTTGTTTGATGAATGAGGATTTCCAAGGATGTCCATTTGTATGCCTTTCTGTGACTCTTCCAGTTTCTCTCTAACAACATGCTGATGACATTCTGTGACACTCTAAGCCAAGCGGCCACTTCCTATGTGAAGCCTCCTATTTTGGAATAATCTTGAGGCACCGTCAAAATGTTGAACATCCTAATCAACAGGACTGTTTCAAAGCTACTGTAAAATCCCGTGGATAATACGCCGCCCCAAAACTTTTTTTTTCTCTGTACCCTGTATTATACGGTACCCCAATGTGCTGGTATCCATTATTGTCATCTGGTTGCATTTGTGCAAGTGCATGTGTTAAATGCCCCCATAACAACACTCGCACAATACAGTGCTGAAGCTTTACAAGATGATGTAAGTTTACAAGCTTATGAAAGGTGAAATGAAGGTCACCTAGTGCATTTTCGAATCATCCTGAACTTCCAGCCCATGATGAGTTGCCTCGAACAGACTTGATACCATACAGGTGTCTGACTGAGTTAGTGGCCAACAACATTGGTGCTAATGTGCTCACCTTGGGCTCACTGGTCAACATGTTGTACCACAAGATGGAGGCCCAGCCGCTGGGCAGCTGACACACATTGGAGATCACCACCACGGGCAGAGACAGCGCCTGCCACAGAGACAATCAGCAGTCATCTTCTTAGGCGGCACAAGCAAAATCTTCACAACTCGCAGAGTCGCACCTCCAGCTTGATCTTGGTTCCGGACTGGCTGAGCTGCAGCTCCGACTCAAAGCTCAGAGAGTGAAGCTCCTTTGTGACGATCAGCGGGACCTAGACACAGCAACACACCTGTGTCCATATATTTCGCAGCCTGAGCGGAATGGTGCAAACCACAAAAATAAGTAGCCATCGTACCTCACTGTTTCGGTTTCCTGCGACTTTCTGCTCTTTTAATTGCTAAAAGAGTGCAAGGGTACAGTTTTAGTGGACTGAGATAGTTAAGTCAAGTACAACTTCATTGTCATCTGTGCAACATACAGCACAGATGAATTTTTTTTCCCTCTCAAACAGACAAGACAGGAGCCACTGCGGGTGCCCGTGCCGCCATTAAAAGAACAGTTAACATAAAATGATAAACTAATACAACACAACACATAAGACACAGACAGTCCTGCAATCTTAACCACTTTTCCTGCATACACTTTGTTGTTTGAAGCAGTTATAGAAGGGCATGTCCTGAAAATTCTCGACTCAGAAAAGGTTTTTGATCTTGGACTTTAATGTGAAATTTCAGGGTGAACCTAAAATGTACAATAACCTTTCCAGGTGAACTGCTTTTTGATGTTCTCAACTTTGAATGCGTGTCTAACTGGTTCGGTTTCTCGAGTTCAACTTTCTGTTTTCGAACAAGGAGCTGAATGGAAACATTCACAGCAGATGTTCCATGCATGAACATTTCAAAGAACATCTACTTCTATCCCTTTCTGTGACTCTTTCAGTCTATCTATGTTGTGACCTGTTGATGACTTTAAGACATTCAAAGCTCAGTGGCCACTTCCTGTTTGAATTCTTGTTAGAAATTGCTTTTGCTTTTGGGTGGCCACTTCCTGTTTGAAGTCTTATGGTATTGGACGATTTCTTGGTGGCCACTTGGTTTCGTGATGTGAAAATTAGAGCTAGACTGATATGGATTCTATTGAGGTCGACAACAAGCTGATATACGGCAGAGTAAAATTCCGATAACCGATTAATTGGTGGATTATCTAAAAATATATATAATAAATAACGTATTTTTGTGGTTACTTAACAAGCTATGAATTACAGCAATCCCTCGTTTATCGCGGTTAACGGGGACCGAAATCACCCGCGATAGACAAAAATCCGCAAAGTAGCGAACCTCCCCGTATAGGTATATGTACATGTGTATGAGTATAAATAATATCTATAAGGCTAAATTTAATAGTATACATGCATGTTTGTAGTAATTAACATTACTTAATGCTATATACTAATATATTTAAACATGTATAAGTTAGGTTAGGTTTGTGTATGAATAACGAAATACAGTAAACACATACATGTAGTACTTGTATATGTTGCTCTATGTGATTTGCTGTTGTTTTGTTGACTTTCACTGCCTCTCGCGGTCTTTTTGTGGCATTTTCGCTTTTTTATATATATATATTTTTTTTTTAATGTTTGAAAAAATCCGCGATGCACGAGGCCGCGATAAATGAACCGCGAAATAGTGAGGGATCACTGTACAGGCAAAACAGTTGACTGATTTACAATACTTTGTCCTTTAGGATTTAACAACAGACCGAAAAAGTGCCATTTTTGTGTGTTTTTTGAAAGTCATTATCTTTGCCTCAGTTTGTAATGTGTTAAAATGAAAAAACGTTAATATTTTGACTTTTTTTTATGCTATTATCAGACCAATAAATTGGTTGAGCACCAGTTAATATCTGCTCCATGCTCCTTGTGAGTGTTTTCATTTTGTGTAAATGTGAACAGCATGACAAAAAGGACTGTTTAAATACATATTGTAAGTAACTGAACCGGGAAATGTATCGGGCAATTCATGGATCAACACCTGCTGTGAATTTCAGAGGTGCAGCTCCTTGTTAGACAACAGCAACTTGTGGAGCAACTACTCGATGAAAGGGCCAAATGCCCCCAACTTTGGTGTGTCGCTCTCCCGTAACCTTATATTCAAATCTCACCAATTCAACTGTGAAATAAAATAAGACTTGCCAGATGTCTAAACTCTGCTGCCAAGCTGCCGTTCGACTCCTCCATGTTCATGACTTTGGTGTTTGTTCCCAAGATGTTGAACCTACGGAACCTAAAAGACACAGGTGGATCGCTCACTGCCATTTGGCATAAAGGATGTACTTAACTTACTGCATGAACCAAGTGTTAGAAGGACGACATACCCTTTCTTGTCCGTCACATCTCTGAAAAGATCAAGATGGCACATTAATGGCAAGTTCTTACAAAGTATTGTTGTGCATGTGGCAGCATGAGACTGTACTTGTCAAATAGCGCCTTGACTTTGAGCTGGTAGTTAAACTCAGGGAGCTTCACCAGGAACCTGAACAAACATAACGGATGGCAAGAAAATGGGAGTATGGCATCAGTACAGTATGTATGTCTTGTTTGCCGAATGCTGAGCTGAGCTGTTTCTTTTACCGCAGTTTGACAGTGAACTGAATGGCGGTTTTCAGCACCAGGGGCCTCTGAGGGTGGGTGGGCATGCAGGGCTGCCGCTCCACAACCAAAGCGCTGCTCACACAAAAAAAAAAAAAAAAAATGACGCATCACCACATTGGATGAGGAACCGGCCAAGAGAGGATCACTGATGTTACTTGGAGAGGAGGGTCTTCAGCAGCTCCAGGGCTCGGACCTCCAGGAAGTCTTTCTTCAAGGTGATGGGGTCGCTTTCGTATGTGAACTTCTGCTCCAGCTCTTGCAGCTTCTTCAGATGCTGGCGAAACTGTTGAAGAGTCTCTGCTACTGTGGTGAACCTGCAGGAGACAGGGACTTGCTGGTCAGAGCCATTGCTTGGGTCACTTTTTTGCTTTGTGTTGCAAGCTAAACTTTTGAGCTTCACATATGCTGCCACGCGAGTAAAATAGGGGGGAGCCACACTCACGACACACTTTTGACTATTTATTGAACGAGATAAGCCACCAAACACAGAAATACAAAATGAAAACACGTACAAGAACCATGGAGCAGATATTAACAAGACTCCACCAATTGTCCAGCTGATTTTATTGGCCGTTATTAGCTTTTCACTTTTTTTTTTTTTGCCAATATTTACTCATTTCTTTCTTTTTTTTTTTTTTTTTTACACATTAACACATCACAACATAACACAAAGATAATGACATTCAAACATTTTTCTCATCCCATTTCCCACCCCGCAAAAATCGGCAAAACAAATCAGCCATTTTTTGCCAACTTTTCAGTCTGTTGAAAAGTTAAACGAATCCTAAAGGACAAAGTCATCTGAAACAGTCAAATGTTCTGCCTCTAATTCATACTTTTATTGTTGTAAGCATTAAGGGACCAAAAAAAGTCATTTTATTCATTGTATTATTTTTTTCTAATGAATTCTTAATTCATTTCTACTTAATCATCCGAGTGATGGGCTGTTGGCATTTTATTCTGCCAAATATGGCATTGGCCCTGCGATTGGTCGGCAACCAGTTTAGGGTGTACCCCGCTGACTGCCCACAGACGGCTGGGATAGGCTTCAGCACTCCCGTGACACTCATGACGATATGCAAATTAGAAAATGGATGGATGGATTGCATTGGCCTAAAAAACAAGTCCCTGTCGGTCAGGACCTAATATAAAAATGTTATCAGAATTCTATTGTGCCAGATACTGAAATCGGCGTCAGAAACCCCCATATGATTGTGTCCTCTTAAAAACACATTGCACTTGGAACAGATTATTTGTATTTCAGTTCATTTAAATGACGAATATCTACTGTGTTTGATCTGCGGGTTAGTCCCGGAATGAATCCGAGCGCGAAGTCAAGGTAACAATGTAGAGCCGGTACATTTGAGATTGAGCCGGCGCTCACCAGTTCTGCAGCTGATCCAGACAGGCGTTGGGCGGGCCGCCAATGCAGGCAATCTGCTGCCGCCGCTTCCACTCAGGCAGCTCCTCGGAGATCAGGTCCGACAGCAATGCTTGCGTCACATTCAGGAGCTCCGACAGCTGGAGCATCACGTCCTGATTACACAGAGGTTGACGTGACTTTTCTTTTACTGTCACTAGAAATCTCATTTCGATCACATGCTTATGAAAGCATTCAATTTCGACAGATTTCAGAAATTAGTTTTTGTCTGCAGTATTGAACAGACGGTGTTTCTTTTGATTTCACACGACATCCATGGTTGGGGCTGACATTGTCACGTGGTATCAAATTTGCCTGCATCGATCCAAGGATGAACCTACCTGACGTTTGGCTTTCAGATCCAAACACATCCGGGTGATGACCATCTTCTCCCTCTCCACTTCCTTTGGCCCCATATCGTTCAGTTCGTTCTCTACACAAGCACCCAAGCCCTCATGTCAGATCCACTCATGCGACTTTTACGTGTCTTAGCCTTTTAGACTGGCGTGGTCACCTCTGTTCCTCAGCGTGTTGAACTTGAAGTCGTATTCATCTTGCTGATCCTCCAGATTTTTTATGGTTTGATCTGCCACCTGAGACACAAATTTGTTAAGAATATTGGAAACATCCGCAAAGCCAAACCTGAAGCGGAGCGCATGAAATATGGTCAATGTATCACCTGAGCTCTCTCCCGCATCTCCTTCACTTTGCCGCCCAGTTTCTGTTTCTCCACCACCATGGCTGGCGCCATTCCCTCACCCTCCTGCAATTTTTACATTCCCGTTTTAACTTGACATCTGGAAGTGTCTTTCAGACATCAATCCAAAGCCATCCTTCCAATAGTTTTGTTGAAAGTACAAGGGCCATTTTACCATGGAGCTCTTTGCGCACGCAAGGATCATGCGCTCATCCTTTAGGTTCTTTGAAATGATCATGGCCATGTGCACTGGGTCATCCTGGAATCGATCCTGGAAAATAAGCTTATCAATGAATCGAACAGAATGAAAGAGTTTAGCTTCATTGTCATTTTAAGGAAATTTAGAGTGCCCGACCATTTGTGAAAATAAAATTATGGAAAAGTAAACAATAATAAATAACAAACGCAAACCCAAATGTCAGGTATAAAGAACATACAATCATACATTCATTGCACTTAGAATGTGTGTGTGGATAACTTAAAATGGTGTAACATTATACATAGCTTCCAAAATAATAGACAACATGTTGTGGCTTTCTACTGGAGATACCTATTTAATTGACTATGATGCGGATAGATCCGGTGAGTGGTAGGCTGCTGCTAATGCAGTCAGGTGAACAGAAAAGTCAAGCCAGATTTTTTTTCTACCTCTTAATAACTCGTCTTGGCTATTTTAATGACCTCGTTGTTCATTTTGTTTGTAGTATCACCTTCATTTTGATGTAACCCGGAATAACATTGACAGGCGCAACTTTTTGTAGTCAACAATGGAGGAACGACTAGTGCATCATGCTTAGTTAATTACGAAGAGTTGGGGGTGGAGGTGGGGTGCACAGCGCAGTCTGACCTGCAGGTTCCTCTTAATCTTACGGCAGTTGTGTTGCTGTAGGAAGTTGTTCTCCAGGGCAAAGCGGCTATGTTGGTCATCCAGCTGGGATAGGAGTTCATGAAAGCGCACGATGGCTAACGATTCTTGACCTGCCACCAAGTCCCTAGGAATGCCCACACAATACAATACAATACAATACAATACAATACAATACAATACAATACAATACAATACATACTGACTTATATAGCGCTTTCACAACAGCGGCAGCTGTAACAAAGCGCTTAACAAAACAGTTAACATAAAGTGAAATAATAAACACAACACAAAACATAAAACACGGACAGTCGTGCAGTCCCAACCACTTTTCCCTCACACGCTTCGTTGTTTGAAGCAGTTTGAGATGAAAGAGGAGAGAATCAAAGTGTCCTTTCACCAGTGGATCAGATACAGGGGATGTGCTGATCAGAACTACAACTCAATATACACTATCATATGAGGTGGTAGTATTTGTTCCATGAAAGGTTATTCATTTACTCCCAACAGCCCATTTGTTCCTTTTAGCTGCACTGTTCCTGGTACATGCGGATGGCAGATTTTTCTGGGGCCAATCAGATTACAGCCTCAATGTGTGGCCAAGTCAATGTAACCTGCCCAGAGCCTTCACAATTAGGAGTGCTGCTTCATGCAACTTCAACTATATTAGCAACGTCCGTTAGGATTTCAAATTCTTTCTCACTTGGCCCGAGCGCTGGCCCTCGATGATGACAGCATTTTGTCTTCTGCCTGGTCGGTCAGAGTAAAATTTGTTACAGCCTACTTGGACTTGGCATAACATATCTGTAGCGATCTATACAATTCAATACATTTTAATAATCAGCATCTCTGTGAGTAGGATGTACGATAAATCCTGCATTCTTGCATTTCGGCATCCCTGGATTCACCGATTCTTTTTCAATATTTTGTAAAATATTTGGTTAATATTTTATTCTATTTTTTTGCAGGGGAGGGGCAACACTGTTCTTCATGGAAAAGCCACACTTATTCAAAACTTTTGGGGGTCATTTTTTTACTCAATTGAGTGGGCAGATTGAAGATTTTCACAAAAAAAAAAAAAAAAAAAAAAAAAAAACCCTCCAACTAGCAGGGGTCCACTCTATTCTATTTGTATTCTTAATATTTTGCCATATTATTATTTAAATATTTTGAACCGCTCCAGATGATGTACATTGCTTGTTTTTGCATTGTACTGATGATTTCTATAATTGCAATGTGATAGTGGTAGTAGGCCCAGGTACTAAAAACTTCAAACTCAATACAGTAGAGCCTTGAGATACAAGTTGAATTTATTTCTGTGATCCCATTCTTAACTCAAAACACTCATATCTGAAATCATTGCAAATTGAAATAAATGGAAATGCCATTTATCTGTTCCAGCCTCCCACAAAAAGCGAACAAAAATGTGTGTAACCTCTATGTTTTTATTCACTTAGTTGTGCTTTGTAATGTGTTTCCTATTTTAGGAAAACAGCACTCAACAACACTGTACTTCATAAAAACATGAAGTCGTAACATATTTGGAAAGAATTTAAAAATGTTGCGCATCATGATATTTCATTGGTGATTGTGCGGCTTCTTCTGGTGTGTCCTGGTTGTCAACTTTGGAGCAGGATATTACAGACTTATTGTACCTATGGCCAAGAATATATGCCTGTGAGCAATTTTATGTTGTCTGTCTACATGTGTTGCTGTGTTCAAATATCTATTACTTAAAGGGCTATAACATTGCGACAGTGATGATATTGGTAAGCCTGCCCATGGCATCTTGCATTGTTTGTCGGCATTGCATTCTTGATGATTTTGCGTCAGTGTGAGTAATCTCACCAGTCGATGCTCTCAATCCACTTGCACAGGTACTCTCTGATGTCCATGGGGAATGAGTCATCATAGAGGAGGTCCACCTTCTCCAGGTACTTGGAGTCCAGCATCTGAAGTTGGTTCCACTGAGCCATCTCCTAAAAAATGAGCAAAACAAGTCTTGGGAAATACGGTTAAGCAATTTAATTGTGTTATATCTGGTCAAGGTGCAGATGTGGCAAAAGTAGTCACAATCTGCACTGAAGTGTATATCCAGATACCTGTGTAAAAAAAGGCAGTAAACAGTATAGAAGCAATGATTCGACCCCTTAAATAGAACTAAAAAAGGACTTAAGTACAGTACTTGGTACAACAGTAATAATCAACTTTTTGTGTCACTTATACTTACCATTTTGATAACTTGGGTCATTTTTTAACCAACATCTAACTTAAGAAATACATTGTATTTGTTTTTTGAGACAAGATCGGGTGGGAAAAAATACCTCTAATCTGGTGATTTTCAGGCTGGCGTAAGACAATCATTTTTAAGGTTGACGATGTTAAATATCTTGTTGCTCCTTATCTATTTGTTTTAATGTTCTGAGGTACTTGTCTTTCCATTATTCCTGCTGTCCCTGTTTGATTTGGTTTCTGTTTGTGTTCTGTCTGATGACCTGGCCTCACCCACCCACAATCTCCGACTGGCCACTGCAGTGTTCAAGTAAAAATAAAACAGAAACCATGTGGCGCATTTATTTATGTGTCTGTCTGTCTTCCAAACTATGGTGGATAAATTGACGGTTGGTGCTCAAAATGTCAACACAAGTGAAATATGAATATAAAAAACATTGCTTTAAAATAATATTTTTAAATTACAACAATATATAGCCCACATACACATATAGCAGCTTATTTTAAAAAGATAAATTGGTGCTTTATTTTCTCATGTGGCTCCTTTGGAAAATTATCTGATCTCAAGATGTCAATAGCCGCTAACTTTATCGCACTACATTTGTCGTGACGTCGTCTTGTCGTCATCCACGGAGGTTGAAAACAGGAACATTTCGAAAGTTAAGGGAAAAATGTGTCGCAATTTAGGCGTAGAAGGTTTTCAGATATAGACAGACAGATATCTACATTAAAATATAGGACGTGAAAGTAAAACGTCGTGGAAAATATACATACACAAAAAAATACAATACGTGTACTGCGTTACTTCTGGCAAGGTGACCAGCGTCAATCAGACATTCCACGGAACCACAGGTTATCATTACAGTAACTATTACTGTATACATTACAGCAAGTATTTGACATAATTTGCTTGTTAAGTTTAAAACAAAACACACCTTATTTAGTTTTGAAGCTGCTCACATGTACGACTCGATTCGGCACCCGAAAAGCGTGTCCAACATTCCCACAGCGGACGTAAACAAATACTGAAATTTACCGTTTATGCTTAGGCGGAATAAATAAGTAGCACAACGGAAGAGGCAAATAGATGTACTTGTAGTGTCCTGCTTCGTATTTGGCTTGCGTCTTGTTCCTTGTTCTGACAGATTTTGTCAGTTTGTCTGTGACACGAGAAGTAACCAATCGCCGCAAAGATTGTGCGACAGTGACACGCCCATTTCTCAGTTTAACCAATCAAATTGTTCGAAACTGGCTGTTCTGTCACTGAGAGTTCGCCCCAACAAAGCAAAGAGTCCTTATTTAATTACATGTGAAATATCTCGTTACAGCGCAACACCAACCCTAAACATGTGAGCATTTTGGTGGATTTTTTTGGTATCATAATTTTACTTGCAGTATCTATTTTTTATGAAAAAATAAAAATAAAATAAAGACTCGTTGACGGGGGGGAAGTTACTTAATGGAACAGCCATGGTGAAGACCACGTGTTTTCAGAGAAAGCGAAAGGAACTGCAAATGTCCAGAAACCACCGAAACTGATACCTATCCCCCTCTTCCGTTACTTTCTTGGGCACTCTGGAGAAACTCAAGTTTATTGAACTCTAATGCACGTTACATGACACAATAAAGATATTTTATCCACAAAATGTGTTTATTATATTTTATGTGAATGCAATGATACTGAACAAAGATAAATTACTCTAATAGTTGATTTAACACGACTGAACTCGGATTTGAGGAACATGTCGCTGGAATTGATGTGTGTGTTTGTGTGTGTGTGTGTGTGTGTGTGTGTGTCTTCACAAGGTTCACGGAGTGTGCTGGAGGCCTATCCCACCTGTGTTCGGGCAGTAGGCGGGGGACACCCTAAACTGGTTACCAGGTTACCAGCCAATTGCAGGGCACGCGTAGGTGAACAACCGGTGAACAACCATTCACACTCACAATCACACTTAGGAACAATTTTGAGTGTTCTATTAACCTGCTATACATATTTTTGGAATGTGGAAGGAGACTGGAGTACCCAGAGAAAAGCCACACAAGGCCTTGCGAGAACAAGCAAACACCACACAGGAAGGCCGTAGCCACTGTGAGGTGGACGTGCTAACCACTCAATCACTGTGCCGCTCCAAAAAATTTTGTTTGTACCTTTCATTAATCCAATAAAGCCAAGATTTTTGTTTGTTTGCTTGTTTGTTTGTTTGTTTGTTTTTGTGAATAGAACAGTAGTGCTTGAGCTTAATTGACACAATTCCTTGAAGCTTAAACATTTCATCTATCTGATGTAATGTTTAAAACCTCAATTACCCGCCCTCCAAAAAAATTATACTGCTGAAAAGTTACCAAAAGCCTAGAAATATCAATAAGCTTAATGGCGGAGTGGTAGTTAAGTGCAGTAACAATGTTAATATCGTGTGGCTATTTTTCCTGCAGCTCGACATCACAGGATGTGAACTCAAGTTCAGTGCAATAAGACAAATGTCATTTTTGGACACTGTGTTCCAGCAGAATGTTTAGGTCACAGATCCCTGTGAAGTACAACAACAGCCAGGACATCTGCACTCAGCATCAAATCAAGACAAAACCTCCTGTGGAGATTTTTTATTTTGTCTTAATATCTTCTTGGGTGAATCCTTGCAGCCACAGACCCAAAGTGCGACGTACATTACATTTCCCACAATTTCACAGATTGTATAAAAACCTATGTTTCACGTTCTCATTTGAAAACCCAACAACCACAAAGATAAGATAAAATTACATGTGATTAGTGTAATCCCACGTAGCGTTTGCCAAACCTTTTCTGTCTTGAAAATACAAATCAAAAATATTGCTGGCATACAGTGTATCTGTAAAGAAGGTAAATAGTGTACTCAGCCTCCTTAGATGTCCAGAAAAATGAATGGCGTTTGATTCTTATGATGGGTTTTATAAGCATGCACCGGGAAGAAAGGGCATTCAGTTCATTGTTTATCAAATAAAGGCACATGCTCGATATCCTGCAGGCTCTGTTTGGCCAAAACTCAAATCAGACAGAAAGGACAGGAAGCAGCAGGGAGCCTCACAGATCTCGCATCTCTGCATAAAAATAAATGCAGTGGTACCTTGACTTAGGAGTTGAATTTCTTCCGTAACTCAATTGACTTATTTTTTCAAATCAATGTTCCCCATTTAAATGCATTTAATGAATTTAAAAGCTCTGTATACATAACAACAGACAATACAAAAAATAAACTGATTTTATTTCAGGTAGAGTTAGCTGTGATTTAAAAAAAAACAAAAAAAAAAAAACAGTTTGTCAATATGTTAAAACAGTCTCTATGAACCGACAATAAATGTTTTCCAAATGATCTTTGGGAAATTCATTCCCCTATTCCCCATCTTATGCCTCTAATTTAATTTGTTATTATTATTTCTTAACTAGCCACGACATGACTGAAACTGGCCGATCAGAGATTGTAGAGACACAAGGCGTGACCGAGGGATGCGTCGATCATTGCGAACCGTTGCTTGTGGAGCCTCTTGAAAATGAAACTAAGACAGTTTCTTTGGCTAGTTATTTAACTCTGTTTAGCCTCAATAGCTAAAAAGAAGCAATTGGAAAGCTCTCTACTTCATGTCAAGGAATATATTGTTGGTGTTTGAGGTTCGGACAGCTGCAAATAGACGGCTGCATACAAGCACCACCGCCAAAGTGACGGTGACCGGGGAAGTCGATTGCCTCTTTCTTATGTTTTAATTAATCGTACATTCTCCCAAATTACAATATCAAACCGGCCACATTTTTAGCAATACTCCATCATGAACAAGTTATGCGAGCAATCCACATGACAGCTTTGGCATCTCGCCGTATATACTAAACTGCAGCTACAACTACAGCAAACTATCTGTAGTTTGTTTCTACTTCACTTAAGTGGGGGCGTATTTGACGCTCGCTCATAAGTCAATTTTTGTTTTGCAACCAAAAGCGGAAAAATCCATCAAGCGGCCACTTAATGGATTTTTCAGCTTTTTGTTTTCAGTTACAAGGTGTCTTGTAACTGAAAACAAATTTTTTACCTCAGGCACTCGTAAGTTAAGGTACCACTGTAGAACAATATAACACAGTCCTCTGCTGATGTTTTCAATCTTTTTTAAAACGGTAAAGGTGCTACGAATCCACAAGTGTATCGAATGGTGGCATGAAATGCAGCCCCCATAGTGGCCTTCCATACGAATCAGGAGCAACCGCAGTGGTCCACCACCATGGACGGGATCTTTCCATAGATGATCTGCTCCTTGCGGTTAAAGTAGAGCATGTTAATGGGCGACATCTTTGTGGGCGTGCAGCAGGGTCCTGCCGTGCCGCGTGGGTTGGCCTTGTTTACCAGGTGTGCATGTGGGTACTGCTGCAGGTGCAAGAACTCGCACTCTCCTGAGCAGTAGTTGGCTCGATAGCGCTTGGGTGCGATGATCCAATCCCAACCGAACTCCTCAAAGTCTACAGTGAGTGGGTAGCGGCAGCAGCGCGTTTCAGCTGATTCTTCATCGCAGTTTAGGCCTGAGTCACGACGGGACCTCTTTGGACTGTCCAGGATTTTCACTTCAATGAATGGTTGCTGGAAAGGAATCAGTTGTAGCGTTAACATTTATGTCATGGAATTTCCATTTGGGCAGCATAATGACCAAGTGGTTAGCACATCTGCCACGCATTTCTTAGCTTGGAGGTTCGAGCCTGTATATTTCCTGAATTACGAGTGACAAATTCTTCATTTGCAGCAATTGAGATCAAAGGTTCCACTATGGATAAAGTCATGAGAAAGTGCTTGTGTAAGTTTTCAAAGACGTTTCCTTTTAGAATTGAAAATTGCTGTCCATATTACTGGTAATGAAACACTGCGATTGACTGGCGACTAGTTCAGGGTGTACCCCCTCGACCGGCCACTGACAGTGGGGATCGCCTCCATCTTGCCCACTACCCCAGCGGGGCGAAGCAGTTCAGAAAATGGTCGGATGGATATAAATGAAACATTACACTAGTCAACTAAATGTTACACACAACTACATTTTTTTAATCAGGGATGCAAGTAAACTTTTGTAGGTGAATTTATTTAGCTGACTCCAAATCTCCTCTTTTTCTCTAGTACATCAGGTTTTCATAATAATCATTATCATCGTGATCGTAACAATCATAAATTTGCAATATGTGAATAAATGTCTCAATGTTTATCAATTAAGCTTCAGATTTGGCAACAGGCGGAATTTTCTTCTGAAACATCACAGCTATAAAATGCAAAGAAAGGAAAATGTATTTAAAAAAAATGATACACTTGGAAAAAAAAGCTAAGACTTTTTTTTAAATGAGCCTCAAAAGTATGTTGTGCCATTTCTGATGAAAAATTGCTCTTGACCACTGTTAGTTTTCTCATAACAGTAACAAGGTGACATTAATGTGCAGTCAAAAACTGCGATTTTCCATGAACTGCATACCTCTGGCGCTCCATCGCGGAGATTGGTTGCCATGTCTGCCTCACAGTTCCGGGTTTCAGGTTCAGTTATCAGCTTAGGGCATTGTTGTGTGGCGTTTTCTTTGGTTAGTTGGACTTTTTGCCACATTTCAAAAACAGTCGTTTCACTGAAGACTGCAAATTGTCCATATTCTTTGTATCAAGCTGTCAAAACCTCAGAGACCAAAAACAGACTGGACCATTTGGGGTATTTTCGCATCATGTCATTTTCTGCAAATAAATGCGCTAAATGACATATTTGAATATGGAATTTGGCTGTTATAAACTGATAATTTTGCATTGGTCTCAATTCTTTTCCAGAACTTTTTTTTTCTATTCCGCCTGTCGTCATGTGAGCTGGTGACAGCCGATTTACATTCGGGACTCGTCGCAAGTCAATCACAGGTTGCAGAAAGACAAAACAACCGTTCACACCTTCGGATAATTTGAGTCCTCATTCAACCCAGGAGTCCCGTTTTTGGAACGTGGGAGGATGCCCGAATATCCGGAGACAACACACACAAGTGTGGGGAGAACATGCACATTTAAACATGTTCCAACAGAGATTTGAACCTGACTTGTGAGGCAGACATTCTAATCACCACGCTGTCTGTATGGAATTTCATATTGTCCAAAAAGTGAGTCCTGTCCCTGAAGCAAGAGCCTGACTGAGTTGTTCAAAGTAAAGAATGTAAGGTGCCCTCACCAGGCCTTCCTCTCCAGGTTCTGCCGATGTGACTGCCAGGTCTTCTCCTTGAGGGTCAAAAGCATTGATGTCAATAGCGTAGTTGCTACCTGGCTGACGTAGCCATGCCTGCAGCAGAGACTTGATGTCCATGCTCTGCCAAGAACCGGTGCCAGCATCAGCGTCCACCTTTAAAGAGCGCACTCGGACCCGGGTATTGTTTCCTTCCCTGTCGGGTTTGAGTCGTGAGATCTGCAGGAAGACAGTTGTGACCATGTGGACTGGCCGCAGATGAACCCACAGCTGAGCGCTCAGGATGTTCTCCGTGTGGATCTTTGGACTGAGGCTGAACAGACAATAAGACAGCCTTCCCTTTGCAACCGAGTCTGCTGGAAGACATCATTCACAGCAAATGTTTATCTAAATATCAACAACATCCGAGTTCATCATTCAGGGTCCAAAACGGATTCCTCTTTCAGATGATACAATAAATGTTACTCTTATGCTAAACAATACTTTGCTCTTCAAGTACCGCTGTCATGACCCAAACTGAAGTACTATTGGAGTTCAATGTGTTTATCAAAAACAATTAGCATTCCTAAAATATATATTTAATAATATTGTAAGCCACTTAAACCGTATGCTCAGATTGAACAGTAACACTGCATTTAAATCAGACTCAAAGACTACCCCTACATTTCCTACTTGTGCCACAAAATTTCAGGTTAGGGGCTGCTGAGCTCTAAGTGGAAAAAAAAAGTTAGTCTGAATTTCTGTAAATATGGAAAAATTAACAAAAACTGTACATGCTTCAATAAAAATGTAAATAATTCAGTTAGAAGATCTCTTAAAGATTAAAGACCCATGTATAAAAGTTCAATACAGTGATCCCTCGCTATTTCGCGGTTCGTTGATCGCGGCTTCGGTGCATCGCGGATTTTTTCAAACAATCAAAAAAATATATATATTTTTTTTTGAAGTCCGCAAAAATCAGTGTCTAAGTGTTGTTTACTATGAGTGCTCGTGTGTGCGCACTCTGCTCAAGCGCGGAAGGTCCACGTGGGGCACGTGTGTGCACATGCACGCATGGGCGTGCAGGTGAGTGTATGTGTGTTGCTGAGAGAAAGAGAAAGAGAGAGAGAGAGAGAGAGAGAGAGAGAGAGAGAGAGAGAGAGAGAGAGAGAGA